TAGGCTACAAAGACTTGTATTATATAATAAGAGAAATGACTTCTCTCTTCCTTGTTGGAGGTGAGGAAACACGTTGTCTCAGTCACCGATCACAAGAGGAACCAGCTTTAGAATGAAGCTTAAACTTGAATGGCAAAGAGTAGAGTTAAAAAGATGTTGGTAACATATTTAAATTTTGGAACAACCAATTATTGTAGCCTGTTCTACATTTTGTAGGCTAATAAATGTCCTTATTGTTTTTGCCAGTTTATGTCAAGTTTTCTGAGGTTTGTTTGTTTTGTAGTCAAAGCATCCTATCCTACCCTGCACTTCAGTTTTGTCCACCTCAGGAAATTCCACTGCTGTTTCATTAGTTATTCAAGTCAGAGACCTAGGAATCATATTTTTTTTCCTTTTCATTCACTGTCTCCAAAATTGAATAAATCAACCAGCCTATTTGCTCTACCTCCAAAACACATTCATAATCTATCCTGTATATCCTTCTCCACTGCCATCGTCTTATTCCACTGTCCCTCACATAAAATCTGCATTCGCCCTCCAACAGTTCTCATTTCTTCCACTCTCATCTTCCTGTAATCTGTTCTCCACACAGAAGTCAGAATGATCTTTTTCGAACGTAGGTCACGTCATTCATCTGTTTGAAACTTTCTAATGGTTTCCAACCTAGAAAAAAGTCCACATTTCTCATTGATTTAATTACAGTAAAGACTATATCGCTATAATAAAGATCTCAAAATAGAGTGGCTTAATTTAGAGAGAAGTATATTTCTCCTTCACTTAGTCCAGCCAGGCAGGCCAGTTCTCCATGAGCTCATCTGGGAGCCAGGTTCCTCCCATCTTGTTGCTCCACCATGCCTAAGGCCAGTACTTTGTCCTTATTTGCATGGTTGGGCACTCAAGGGAAGGAAGTTAAAGGCAAGTAATTTCCCTGCAGTCAAGTAAGGTGGGTGTTGCACATATCTCTTCTGTTCACATTCCTTTGGCAAGAACTCTAGTCACATGGCCACAATTCACAATAAGGAAGGCAGGGAAATTTAGTCTCTGGTTAGCTATCCAGATAAGAGTCTTTTTCCAAGGATGAAAAAGAGAAGAGATTTGGGGAGGATGCCTAGCAGTCTGGCATCTTTATAATGGCCTTCTCAGCCTAAATGATCTAGATGATGTTGGGGGCCCCTGTAGCCTCTCACACAACAGCTCCTACGTCCTTCCTTGTTCACTGATTTTGAACCACGATGGCTTTCCTTCTGTTCCTCAAACATTCTGAAATCATGCCTACCTCAAGCACTGTTCACTTGTTCTCCCTTTCCTTGGAACTCTGCCCGATGGTCCTCTCAATCTCGGTTTTTTTCTTATCCTTCAAGTAACAGTTTGAAAATGTCCCATCCTTTGAGAGGCCTTCTCTGACCACCCTTCTAATATTTTCCTCCTCTTAACAGTCAATGTCCATGATCCTGAGTTATTTTCAACACTGATCATTTTATGAAATCATTTGATTATTTGTGTATTGCCTGTCTCCCTCGCTGGAGTTTGAGCTCCATAAGGGTAGGCGATCTTATTTGTCTTAATCTTATTCACTGCTGTAAGCTCAGTGCCAAACCATTGTATAGACATGATTAGCGCCCAACAAATACTTTGAAAAATAAGTTGAATAAAAGGATAAGAGTATCCTTAGCAATGTCTCCCCATCTTGTCCTTGTGCAATTATCTTTCAGATCAAAATGTGAGATTTTGCATTTATCCCTTCTCATTTCATCTTGTTAGATCTGGCCCATTGCCCTGGTCTATAGATCTCTCTTGGGTGTGACTCTGAACCTGCCCTCTGCCAGTGGATCTGCAGGCCCTTCTCACCACTGCATGTTAGTAAGCAGGCAGCCACATTGCTTGTACTGTTTCAATTAACACTCAGTCCCACACTTCTTTAATCCATACTTCCTGTTCATTGCACCCCCTTTTCATATGAGCTTCTACAATCTCCATAGTTGTTTACAAAGCGAGAACTGAGTGCCATGGGGAATAATGAACAAGGATTCAGGAGATCTGGATGCTAGCTCCAATTCCACTGCTGTTTGTTGTTTTCTAAACCACCTTGAGAAGTCATTCTCCTCTTTGTGGTCTTAACTATTCCCTTTGTAAAATAGAGAAAATCATGCCTGTTTTGCTTTACTCAGAGGATCAGATAACAATGTACATCAATATGCTGTGGAACAATTTAAAATTCTGTTGGAATAGAAGGTAGTATTCCAGGACAGCCAGGGCCAGATCACAGGAGTCAGAGAGAGTCTGTGCAACATGGGGAGATTGTGGGGTCCAGAGGCCGTTCTCTGGAGCACATCTTCCAAAACCCCGCTTCATTGTACACAGTAGGGCATCTTGTATTTTCTTCCCCTGGTTTTCATGCCAAGCATGGAGACATCTCCTCAAAAAAACTGCAAAAGAAAAAATCCCTTTGTGCTAGGTAACAAGATAAAGGCCTTACTCAGAAGGGAGACTTTTAAATATTGTTATAACCACGGTAACCTATGGCCCTATATTGCACATACTAAGGTCTCTCAAAAATCCCAAAGGGGATTGTATTCGTAATAAAAATTTAAAAACTTTAAAAGCTTCTTTTTATCTCTCTCTCAAAATCTCATATAAATACTGGCTATACCCAAAATCTACTTTTTTTCCTCTCCAAACTCTCCTAGCCCATCCTGGCCATGATCTCTTTTATCTTCTTCTCTCCCATGATCAGCTGGTTCCATGTAAATCAATTGAGCTGAGCCAGGTTCCACTGGATTCTTTCCTTGTGAACCCATTATATCGTTTAATACCACAACATTGCAGAAGCTGAGCCAGCTGTTCAGCATTTGATGTGCACTGAAGGAGGAAGAGTTTGAGGAGTGCTCATAACATTTACATTTTCTACCTATCACACTGATCTGTTACCTTTTAAACTAAATGAAACTGAGGCTCAGATATGGTGGAGAGGGAGCACACCCAGGGTCTACCCGAGATTAAGTAGCTTTCTCTAGTAGTTCAGTGACTTACCCTCCCCTCTACCTCGACAGGATGTTTTCCAGGCCCCCCTGAGTTGTCAAACCCTGATGTCTCTAACTTATACACACAGCTTACATAGCTTATACTTTTTTATGGTTCTCTAGAGCTTGGGAATAGTAATTGTGTGTGCTGATAAAAACACACACAAACAGCTTTTGAACTGGTTGCCTCCTTCATGTCCCAGCCACAGCATCTTTAGAACCTCTAGAGCTACAAATAAATCATCATTTGGAGTGAGCAGCCAAGGCTGGAAACTGATAGAGGGCCTCTGGTGTTTCTACTTCCAAAATCTGTGGCCGTACTATCTCAGAATCTCTTTTGCCCATGGCTTACAAGTGAAAACAATCCTCATCGCCTGCCTTCCTCACTCCTCCAGGTTTTTACGTGAAAGGAAACAGTTTTTTGGCAAGTCCTTTTGAAAAGTTTTCAAACCTCTGTTCTAGGGGATGGCTAAGCTGAAAGCCTTAAAGTGACTGAGATCATTTGTACTGGCCAAGATGTGACCTGGATGTAGAAGTGTTTGCGCTTATTCAACCTGCACGGGAGTGCCTGCTCTGCAGCCTTCCTGAGGTCAGAGCTCTCAGGATATCATCAAATGATCTCATTTTGGTTCAGTTAAGCTCACACTACAAGACCTACTGTGTGCCACATACCACAGTGGTATGACGGATACCAAAAAAAAAAAAAAAAATACTTTCAAAGAACTTGCATTCCAGCGGGTAACCAGACACAAAAACGGATCATTTTGTGTTCATGCATTGAACATGGTGACAGGGCAAACACTGCAGAGGAAGCATGGACCTGGGGCTCTTAGCTCAGCCTGGTGGGAGTGGGGCTTCCTAAAAGATGCAACATCCAAGCTGAATCTTAAAATGTATGTAAGAAAGCGCTCAGAGAGGGGGAGGAAGGTATTCTGGAATAAAGGAACAGAGGCACAGAACAACACAGTGTAGTCAAGCTCTACAAATGTTTCTGCATATTACAGCACAGCAAAGAAGTAGAAAAGAAGAGAAGTAGAGGTAGAGACTGGCAATGAAGCTGTGATGGCAGAAAGGGGTGGGATCATAAAGAGCTTTGCGTGTTCTAAGGCACCTGATACTATGTGAAAAAGACTATGGAGAGCCAGAAGGGTTTTAAGCAGAAAGTGGCAAAGTCAGTCTTGCCAGGTATCTTAATTTCAACGGAACCACTTGCTATTTGAGTTTTCTGCTTAGGAAACATTTGGAGGTCTGGAATTTCGTGACTGAGAGTCCTTATCAAGATATGACGTGGCTGTATGTGAGAGTTCAGGTGTATCCTCAGGCTCACCCTCACGAATGAACTGTGTGATGCGCTAGTGTTTTGCCTGGACCTAGGGGGCCCAGCCACCCATCAGTTCAGGGCCTCCATGGCATGCAGCCCAGTGCCCATTTCTCCTGTCCTCTGTGCAGGTCAGCACTGCCCACTGCCAGACTGCCCTCTACCAAAAACCAGGGTTAAGTAGCTCCCTTTCACCACTTACAATTCTTACGGCGCGAGTCTTTAGGTTAATTTTTTCTTTCTGATACTGTGAGGATAATTTGGCAGCATTATCAAAGCTGCTGGTCTCCTTAAGTCAAGAATTTAAATCATTCCATTTAGTTCTGAACTTCCTTGAGAGAAAGAGAGAAAAAAAATGTGTTGATGAGTTCCTTAGAATGAGAAATATATTTGCTGTGATGAACAGCTGTTGGCCAGTTCTTGAAGACGTTTCTCTCTGAAGCACTGAGAATGTACACAAGAGCCCTCAAGTGTCTGGAGAAGAGGTTTCCTTTAGAAAATTCCCCACGGCCTACTGTGAGTAACCTGAGTTTGGATCACTGTGAAAATCCACCTCCATGTGATAGAGTTATTTATATCTCAAGAATCACCATGGAACAATGAGCACTCTCCAAGTTCTCTTCATGGAGGCCTGTTGTTCATTTCTTTTGAGGGAACATCTCTTAATAAATGGAGTCTCCCCACTCCAGAATCTGTTGCTCTAAATTTGCTAAAACATTTTCAATATTTTGTCGAATTCCTGTATTAAATTCTGGAATGGAAAGAAAGTTTAATATCATGGGTAATCAGTAATCAGTAATCAGAGGAATGTGAGATATTGGTTGTTTGGAAGCAATTAGTAAGATTTTTAAAGAAAATGTATTTTAAAAGTCATATAATCTAATGTAAGAATTATATATATTTTGAGTGACACAGTCCTATTCTTCCATGACCAATGCTGTATATACATAAAGGCTACGAGTTAAATGGGAGCTCACCAAAGAACAACCAACTCCCAAAATGCAGGGTTTCTGATAACCATGTTAGAGAAGGCTGCTTTGGTCTGAAGCTGAGATGCAAAGAAAGGACTCTGCCCAAGTCACATGTTCTCCTTCACATGAGAGAAGGAAGCACAAACATCCTGGCCATCCCTGAGAACAGGAAGTGAAAGGTGTAGGACCAGAAAAGAGAATGTGGGGTGCGTAAACACTTACTTCACACTGTGAAATGTGGCACGATGAACTTCAGACACTCAAGGAATCCAGGTATTCTCCTTTCCTGCTTATACAGAAAAGAAGGAAGAGGTGGATAGTTGTCTTAGTCACTTTAGGCTGCTGTAACAAAAATACCATAGACTAGGTGGCTTAAACATCAGAAATTTATTTCTCACAGTTCTAGAATCTGGGAAGTCCAAGCTCAATGCACCAATACATTCAGTTCCTGGTGAAGGTCTTTTTCCTGGTTTGCAGACAGATGTCTTGCTGTATCCTCACATGGCAGAGAAAGAGAGGAAGTATTCTCTCTCCTGTCTCTTCTTATAAGGACACTAATTCCATCATAAGAGCTCCACCCTCCTGACTTAATCACCTCCCAAAGTCCTCATACCCAAATACCATCACATTCGGGATTAGGGTTTTGACATAAAAATTTGGGGAAGACACAAACACTCAGTCCATAGAAACAGAGAAGCAAAATGTCGCGTTCTATGGAACTTACAGAGGAAGGCAGAAGCACCTTGCCCAGCATCAAGTATTTTTCTTGAAACTGTCTAGAACCTCTAACAAAAAAAGTAGAAGGTGAATAATTAGGAGACAACAGGAAGTAGGAGAGAAGAAATGAGGGTACCAGAAGAATACAGGAAGATGACAGATTCTAATGAAGGCAGTGACACAGAGATGGCTTTCTAAATTCAGAAAGAGACAAGTATAACCAAGGATATTCACTGGTGTGTGGAAGGCTCTGGTAGGATTCGTCACTGAACTGTGGTGAAAACAGCCTCCCTGAAGCCTTGAGTAGGAATAATATGTGTGAGGGAATTGGCAACAAAAGGAAGCCAGAAAGGCTGGTTGTTCAGGGCTCTGTGGCTGCAGATAAAGAATCTTTTTGGATGCAGTAGCAGATAGCTGTTGGTATTGTGTATGTGTTTTGTCTATCCAGCATTGCTATTCCCACTTCTTCTGTTAATAACACCTCTCTTCTCTGTTTGGAGAAATCTTCCTATCCCACTATCCAGTCCATCGCAGTCTCACCTTCCTGGTCATAAACAGACTTGCCACATCTCCGGCCACATGATTAGCTCAGATATGGGCACATGACTCAATATGAGTTGACCATAGTCTTTCTCCAGGATTGTTCTCATGAGTAAGGTCTTTTGCCTGCTTGGTCAAACGAGCTGGAAAGTTGTGACTCTCAGACTGCTAGTGGCTATATTTGTGCCTTTTGGAGTAAGTCTATCCTCACTGAGAAAACGTATTGATGTAAAAATACAAGTAGGTGTGGATGATGGGAATCTTACTACATTGAGACCCAGGTTTGTTCTCAGTTCCTACAGCTCTTCTTCCAGCCTGTGAGCTACTCCTGGATCTCCCTAATAGATGAGCTCCATCTCTCCTTTTCTTGTTAAGCTAGTCTGAGTCATCTTCCTATAATTTGCAACCAAACATTTTAGGTGCCTAAGTCATACCAGCAACACGAAGAGGCTGGGAGGGTGGGGTTGGGTATTAATGTCCATTATAATTTAATTACATTCAGTTGAACAAAGGGTTTTTCTAAAAACGATGTTAATAGAAAGTGACATATATATGTGTGTGTAGACATATGTGTGTGTGTGTGTGTGTGTGTGTGTATCCCTCTAGCTTTGCTCTACTGGACATTAACATCTCAGGGAAAGAAAAAGAACCAGAAAAAGTCCACTGTGGCTATGCTTCTACACAAAATTTGTAACAAAACATGAGAAAATATCTCCAGAGAGCAAGGATTGTTTTCTTTAAAAAGTAAAGTGTTTTAACATAAGACTCTGGAATTTTCTCCTCTGCTTGTTTTTTAGAGACAGTGAGAGAACAAGAGACAGAGAGATTGATTCATCTCTGTACAGCTGAAGAATGGGGAATGGACTATTTAGGTCCTTTGGTTGTACAGTTTGATGACATAGTTTTTGCTTGTTAAAGAGAAACTGACCTCACCATAATTCTGCAGAATCAGCGTCTTGACCTGACTTCAGAAAGCAATTGTAATTCAATGGTGTTAAAAGCACACTTTAAAATAGCTTTAAGTTACAAAAGGCATGTACCTGAATCTCACTTGATCCCAAGCAAAAACCTCATGGTTTTCCCCACATTATACCCACAGAAGCCTGCCTCAAAAACATAATATGGCAAGTTCTAAACTTGCAAAGTGTAAGAAAAACATATCACTTTTAAAGAAAGAACTCTTAATTCACTTAATTTGTTTTTCAAAAAACAAATTCATATATAAAAATTCATATATAGCCTTAAAATAAGCTATATAAATTCATATGTAGCTTTTCAAAACCACATCCCTTAACTAATGTCAGGCACACCTCCACCCAATACTGGAAGGTTAGCAATAGTCATTCTCTTGGATCTGTGCCACTAGATGGCGTGTCAGACTAACTCACCTCTGAGCGACTTCCTAGCTACTTCTACACCTCATGCCGTTTTTTGGTGAGTCATCTTAGGCCACCTGATAAGCATTCAGGAAATGCTTATAACCAATTCAGCAGAAAATATAATTTTCACCTAAGTGGTGTGATGAGTATGATTAGGATGTCTCTGCCAAGATTTTCTAAGAGAACCTGAAATTAGCCTACTTCTTATTTCTTGAAATGAAAACCTATAAAAATTGGATTAGAATTAATCATAGGGAAAAATGAATTATTTGTTTTGCCTAATTTTAATCCATCCTATGAGTCTAGTCCTTCCTTGCTTTTTTTTTTTTTTTTTGGTCTTTAAATTTTTACCTTTGTGTGGAGGATGGGGTCTTGCTATACTGCTCAGGCAGGTTTTGAACTCCTGGCTCAAGCTATCTTCCTACCTTTGTCTCCCTAACTGTTGGGATTTCAGGTGTGAGCCACAGTGCCCAGCCTTCCTTGCCTCTTGAATGAAATCTATATCTATAATTTATTTGGCCACTCTTAACAATTAAGAGCCTTCTGTTCACTTTTAAACCCTAAAATAGTCTATGTCTATAATTAAGACAGCTATTCTCTTATATTATCAAACTCTAAAGAATATGTAAAGTTAAAGCCTCTTGCCCTCCCCATCTTGTTTTTGTTTGCGGTCTAGAGGTTGCATTAGAAAGAAATGCATGTATGTGTGCCTTTTCCATTTTTTCCCATTTAGCACACTTATTTCTCCTTTACTCAATCATTCATTCTTCCTGGGTCCCCCAGGGTTGCTGTGTATCTATAGAGTCATTATGGAGAAACGGAAGGCAGATAAGGAGCAGGAAAGGTTTTTCTTGACGGCACAATGTAATATGGCATTGCACCACATATGAGCTTACAATAAAAAGCTATAAAACCCATAAAGAAAAAACTGTGAATGAAAGTTAGCAGAAGTAACAAACTCTAAAATTAGACCCATAAAGACTGTAGATATTGGAATTACTGGATGTAAAATTTTAAGTTAGTATCTTTAAGATATTCAGATAAATAAGGGACATTGTTAAAAAAAAAAAAAGAGTAAGCCACAGACACTATCAACAGGGACTATGCAGATTTGAAAAAGAACTAAACTCCTAGAAATGAAATATATATTAATTAAAATTAAAACTCAAAGAAAGGAGATTAGAGATAGCTGAAAAGAAAATTAGTGAGCTGGAAGATAAACCTGAAGAAATTTACCTGAATAGGGAACAGAAGACACAAAGAAAGGAAATACTAAATATAGATTAAACAATATGGGGCATAGAATGAAAAAAAATCTAACGCTTAATTGGAATTCTCAAGAGAGAGTTTAAAAAGAAGAGGAAATATTTGATGTGTTAATAGCTGAGAGTTTTCCATATTTAATGGGAAATCCAATCCACGGATTTAGGAAACACCACAAATCCTAATCTAGATAAATAAAAAGAAATCCACACCTGGTCACATGTTAATTAAACCGAAGAACACTAGAGACAAAAAAAAAAAAATCTTTAAAACAGCCAGAGAGATAAGACAGATTAGGAAGGACAATTAAACTGGTAATTAATTGACTTCTCAAAAGCAAAAATAAAAGTCGGAAGGGAGTGTAATAATAACTTCAATATCCTGAAAGAAAATAACTATCAATCTAGAATCATAACCAGTGAAATTATCTTTCAAGAACGAGAATGAAATAAAGACTTTTAAATCAACAAAGACTGATGAGTATCCTACCAACAAATCATTACTGAAGTAAACTTCCTTCAGAAAGAAAATATTTCAAAAGGAAGATCTGAAATATAGGAAAAAAAGATATGCAGAAAAAACATGTGGGTGATTCTAAACAAATACTTTATAAATAAAAACAAAAATATTTTATAAAGCTGAAAAACCAAGATGGAATTAAAACATTAGACAAAATAATACAAAATCCAGAGGAGGTAATCAGACTTAAACTGTTTTAGAGTCTGTCTTTAAGTTAAATCTACATGTTAACATTTTTAAGTTAACTACTTAAAGAAAAAAATTGAGCCCAGATGCTTCAAGCAAAAACAGATTTTCTGCTTGACAAGGTCCCTAAAATCTGGAATTCCCTTGAGAGGGCTTAGCCATCCAAAACAGGATTAATAGTTCTCTGAGATATTTATCAATTCTTTTGCTAACAAAGGTAGTTTTAATTACCTCCTCTTAATTATGGTGCTGTGGAATTTCTCAAATCTTTACAGAACTTAAAATGTCCTCCCATGAATAGCTTCCTTCCTGCCTTCCCCAAGTGTAATTTCTAGCAGGCACATGCTTGTGCCCATCTTGGAAATGAGCTAGGTATCATCACCTTGGTTATCCAACCACCTTTCCTATGCCTCATCTCCTTCTGAATGTTACACAGTCTGTGGAGAGCAGTAAGAGTGACAACAGAATTTATCTAACTTATTACAATCTATAAAAACATACCTTTTGCTCTGTCAGTACCAGCCCCCTCTGTAACCCCGCAATATGTATTCCTCTATTACCATACTTACAACAATCAGAGGAGGACATGTATCATATGATTATTTCTCTTGCTGAGGCCATTGAATGTCAGATCATGATTAACTATAGTTGTGTTAATTATGAGTTCTTGGTAACAAATGTAGGTAAGAATTCTTTATTTAGTTTAAAACATTACAACCAAATTCAATTTGTATGTCTGACATAGAAAAAAAAAGGTCATGGACAACAGTAATACAAACATTTCAGTTTTGATGTCACAAGGCACAAAAACAACTGACAGGTGGCCCTCACGAAGCTAATTTCTCACCCTTCTCTTTCCCACCCTTCTATTCCCTTGTTCTTTATTCTCACAAAGCAAATTTCTTATGCAGTGGTGTCTAATCCTTTTGTTAATAAAACGACTTTTCCTTAAAGCCAAGGTAAAAGAGAAGCTATTTGTGTCTCTTTTAGCCTTCCCAGAAGAAATGAGTCAGACTAGTTACTACATGTCCAGCCCTACTAAGAAACTCTAAGAAAAATTTAGCTAAACTACTATATCTTTTTCCTTCTCACATCCCTTGTCTCTCTATATCTGATCCCTCTTAGTTCTACCTATAATCTTAAAACGTAGTGAAGATGCCAGATTTTTGTTGTTAAGCAGCTTCTGCCCGGAATTCTGAATCCAGATGAATCTGTAGTTTCGCTTAGAAACTTCTCTGCAAGGATTCCCCAGAAAACCTAAAGCACATATTACCCCTCATAGCACAGCTAATGAAAATGAGGCTCTCAGCTGGGTTCAGTGGCTCATGTCTGCAATACCAGCACTTTAGGTAGCCAAGGTGGGAGGATCACTTGAGGCCAGGAGTTTGAGACAAGCCTGGGAAACATAGCTAGACCCCATCTCTACAAACAAACAAACAAACAAAAAAATTAGCTGGACATGCTGGCACATACCTGTAGTCCTACCTACTTGGGAGGCTGAGGGAGGAGGATTGCTTGAGCCCAGGAGTTTGAGACTGCAGTGAACTGATACCACCACTGCACTGTACTGTAGCATGGGCCACAGAGCAAGACCCTGTCTCAAAAAAAAAAAAAAAAAAAAAAAGAAAAAGAAAAAGAAATTGAAACTCTCCTTGAGTGAAGCCACAACTCCCTCTTAGATTAGCATTTGAGGAATGAATGGTGCTTAGCTGGATGAAGCAGCAACAGTATCTGTCTTCATAGAGCTTCACCACATCCATGACATATGAACAAGCATCAAGTCTACGACTCTTCTCACCGGATGTCTGGCTGTGAAGAGGAACTGGAATCTGGAATATCCAGATTCCAGTCCCATGGGTATTTAAGGAATTGGAAAGGTCCCTAGACAAGACAGTCAGAAGGCCTGGCTTTATAATTTTAAAAATCATTTGACTACGGACAAGTCACTTAGTATTTTTCAACCTCAGTTTTACATTCTATGTAACGAGACCACAACATCTGCCCTGCCTCTATCACAGGAGTTGATGCTGGGATCAAATGAAAGTGTTCTGTAAACAGTAATATACCATAAAAATAACACAAATATTATTAGTATTAACCTTCTCCCCTTCAAATAGTGCTAAAGCTCAGGCTGCTGCTTAAAGCAGTGCAACATTGCCCTTGTGCCACTCTGATGTTAAAAGCCCCTTCTTCAAGCTTCATAGATCAGTTTGCCAGATGACTAGGAGGTAGGATACTGGCAGCAAAAAGCCAGGCACTTTTTCCTTCTAGGACTTTAAGTAACTGGCCCCCTATTTTAGTGAATTTGGATTTCTACATCCTATCAATCAATTTCAGACTTCCATTAACATGCTGGAGGCATTTAAATCTGATTTTGGAAGGATATATAATGAGGACTTTTATTATTCTTGTCCACCCAACTTTGGGTAAGACCAAAGTGGAAGTGCTATTGGCCAGTCATCCTTATAATTTGTACGCTTTATAAAATGATTTTTTCCATTTCCCCAATGGCATCTTTTCTTTCTATTCATGATTTAAGTTTTGCTAAAAATATATCAAGGGAATGAGAAAATTACCTGTAATTCTTGTTGTCTGTTCTGAGACTGTCACAATAGATCACTATTCTGGGAATGGAAATATCTACAACAGACTCCCTGGGAGTGCTCCTGACACTCCTTTCTCTCTGCCTGTTTTCCTACTACCACTACCATACTCTGGTGAGCCCATCCACGTCACAGCCAGACTTCTGAGAGACTCACCACAGCCAGCCCCAAAGGAGTGAAAGGGACCTCACCAGGACATTTGAAGGAAAAAATTTTAAGTCCCAAGGAAGCCTCAGGACTGTTTGGAGTACACCAGAGGTATGACTTAGTGCAACAATTTCCAAATGCATCTGATCTCAGGAGTCTCCTGGAATGCATATTAAAAATATGAAGTCTGGCTCTAGACCCACCCAATCAATCTCCAAGGCAGGGTCCAACAATACCTTTTTAACAGCAGCAATCAAGTTAATTCTTACGGTTAGGCAATTTTGGGAAACACTGATCAGCAGAAAAGATCCAGAGGTTGGGAGTCTAAAGACCTAATAGGTTTGTGACTTCATTAATGGCAGTGATGGTTTCTTCACCTATTAAAAAAAATTGGGTGGGGATGGGTAGTAAATTACAACAATATCTGTGACTTCGGCTTCCCTCAGAGGCATGATCTAATCAGATTACCTATGGAGAAATTTTGTGGACTATTCAGAAATATTTACAGATGTGGTCAGGTGCCTTGGGTTTGGGTGGCAGCCTTTTCCCATCTCCAGTATGCCTAATCCTATGTCAAGTGCACAGTGAGGATCATGAGAAGGGGGATGAGAGACCTAGCATCTCCGTGAGACCTGCCCTGTGTTGGCAAAGATGGAACCTGAGCCCCAGGAGCAGCTGACGCTGAGCTCCCCTGTGAGCATGCTCGGATGGAATAGCTGACATGCGCCAAGTCCATGGCCATTGTCTCCAACTTCCTAATGAATCCATGCATGGCCTAGAGAAGCAGCTCATCTACCAGGGGACACCTCCTTGCCACCTGCATCCACACTCCCTCCTCCAGCATGTTCCTGACTCAGTAGTGACTCATAGGCAAGTACAGCAGCTTATGCATCATCCCTCTGGGACCCCTGCTGCTCACCCTTTCCTGATCCTAATTCACCACTTTTCAGTTCAGCCTTTTGAATATTGGCTTTTCAGATCACCGAGCATATATTTAAATAGGATGATGGACAAACACATACAACACTTTAACATCAAAGTATTCCCATTTAAGTTTTTTAAAAAACTAAATCTCTGGGTTTATTATAATTTATCCATAGTACTATTTCATACTCTATGTATAAAATCTCCTTTCTTGAGCATGTCTTATTTCCCCTATTAAATTACAGGGTCCTAGTGGACAGAGATTATGTCTTACACAAGATTTACTTTGTACCCCAATAAAACCTAGGAAAGAAGCTAACAAATAAAACCATTTCCTATGCAGGACACACTATTTAAGGGAGAAGAAACAAAAGGACACATAGAGGAAAGTCAGGGGTGCTGAGGACAGCAAGCTTTGATTTGTCAACTCAGCCTTAACTCCTGTCCATATACCCAGAAACAACTGCCTTTTTCTTCTACTGAAGGCCTGGAAGTCTGAATGATTTATGCAGTTCTACAAAGGACAACCTGGTCCCAACTCCCAAGGTTAATTCAGTAGCCTGCTATTTTCTTTGTATTTTTCCGTCTATCCGTAGTTTTGTTGTCTTTGGAATTGCAGGTTTCCAATTTTAATAATTCTTTAATTCTTTCCCATTGCTACCCTCAACCTTCACCAAAATCATATGTCTTTAGTTTTTTAAAAAAACATTATTTTTGGTCTCTGCAGCTGGTGCTATGAGGCTCTTTGGTGGTGAAAAGCCTGACACAGTGCTCAGTATAAAGCGATAATAGCTACCACAGCTACCCAATATTCTCCAAAATTGCCTGAGCAAGTTGAAATCCAAAGCTGGTGACTAAGAAATGTTTTTTATCATCTTTTCCATCTGAACTGGGGTCCAAACAGACAGGCTACACCTAGGCTTTCAGAGGCCAGGGACACCAGCAAGTCTAAAACTCAGCACCAGGGTTATGGCTTGTGTCTTCCAGCCCTTGGAAGTACCAGCACTGGGTTCAACTGTTTTCCTGATTTCTCTGGGACTGGCCAAAGTAACAGGGAAATTCTTTCGTAGGTCAATTCTCCAAGCAATGACACATACCAGTTCATCCCTCCGACCCTCACCCAGCCACTTTTTTATTTCATTGCAAACATAGGATGTTTTTTGGAAATGTCATGAAGTACAAATGGATACTAGAGGAATGGTACTCTGAGAATAGGGTCTAGCTCCAGTAAGGTGGCTCTGGAGAAGACCAAAAAGATGTTAAAGAAGAGGCCTTCCTCAGAGGTTGCCCACAGATCCATACACAGGGAAAAAACCACTGCTGGATTAAGGGATAGCAAAGTCAAGCATTATCCTCCACGGATTTGACCCAAACATGTACCCCACAAGAGTGCAAGGTGAAAAGTTTTGATAAAAATCTGTCAACAAAAGCGGAGGCTATGAGAAACACAAGTTTGGATGGAGTAAGCGGTTCATGGATAAACATCCAGACAAGAACGAGTCAGGTTTGTTCTTGAAAAGAAATTAACATAAACAATGCATCAACTTCTCATGCCTTGAGTAGGAATCAGAAATTTGGGCTGGGTTCAGCTAGGCAGTTCTTCTGTTGGTATTAGCTGGACTCACTCATACATCTGCAATCAGCTGAAAGTTGATGGGCTGTCAGATAGGGTGACAGGGTAACTGGGCCCTTTTCTTTTGTCATGCAGCAGGATAGTCCAGGCTTGTTCACCTGGTGGTAGTTGCAAGGTTCCCAAGGGCAGCAAAAGAGGACAAGCCCCATGCACAAGAACTTTTCAAGTCTCTGTTTGTGTCACATTTGTTGGGCTACTGGCTAAATCAAATCACACAGCCAACTCCAGATTCAAGGGGTAGGAAAAAAAGACGGCACCTCTTGATGAGAAGGAAGTTGTGGCCATTTTTGCTATCTACACAAATGACAAAATCCAGAAATCTAGCTTTGGAATTTAGGCAAACTCTATCATTTAGGCAAGGGTGGCAATAGGAAGTACTCCTTCCTGAGAAAGCAGTATCTCTAATCTCTTGAAAGTGGCCATAGTGGCAGTCTAGTCAGGCCAAATGCTGTATGTTCCACATCCCCTATGTCCTAGAATGGCAGAACTGGGATGGCAGAAACAATTAATGCTAAGTGAAGCACAAAACCAGAAAAGATTGAGTGAAGTTTGTGGGTGAAATGGTCCACATTCAAAATATAATGAGACGATGTTATTTCCCTCTTAAATTCCTTCTCATTCTTTTCTATATGCATTACTGCTTTCTCCTCTTTTCAAACTCTTCTGTTTCATGCGTATATTTTAAGCATTTATCACAAGGCACCCGATGACAATCTAATCCGAGTGCAGAGGGAGGCAGGGCTCTGTGTGTGGCACCAACCTGTGGAAAGTCCAGGAGAGGGGAGGAAGAGAAGAGCCCTTAATGTCTAAGACTCAGATGTTGACATGTGCAGCAGAAAAGGAAAAAGCAGTTTACGTTCTCAGAATGGAAAAGGAAATACTACTTAGACAGCTTTTCAAAAAGGTATACTTGCTTTTGCTTTGTCCTAGCCACTGAAGAATTGTCATTCAGAACAGCAAATTGAAGTCATTTCTGTGATTGTACCAGAGGTCACTGTCACTGAGCTCACCAAAGGCCTTTTGATTTTAGTGTAACAACAGTCATTGACTAGTGACTGGAAAGTGATGGGGATAAAAGGTATATTTTGACTTGAAGCTATCTTTCCTTGTCAGCAGAAGGCCTTCTTCTAATAGTAGTAATAAATTCTTCTGTCTCTAAGTATAGCACAGGAGGTATAGAAAAGCATACTGAAGGCATAGGCAATTTCTGGAGATTAGCAGTCCAGAGCAAACTCTCTTTCAGAATTGTAAATGGAGTCCTGGTTCTGTTAAGGGAGGAGGTTGGGCAGGATAAACGCTATAGTTGAGAAACTCTGTATGTAGGAATGTTCTCGCACATTCTTGCTTTCTTGGTAAGTTTCTCAAACTAGTTAGATGGGCACAGAGGTTTGAAATCAGCCTCCCTTAAAGGCTGCCTCCCATCCCTTGCCAAAGCAGAGATCAGCAAATCTTCCAAGGTGATGGCCAGAGAAGGTCCCGGGTCTGCTGACTCTTGGATTTGTGTCTTGTCCCCATAGTCCATGTCTGATTTCTTGTCATCCAGAGAAATGTTGACAACATCAGACCACAAGGGACATCCTGGTTGGAAAGTCATTCTAGGAAAGAGCAGAAAGAGCCCAACATTAAGCCACACGCTAGTTAAAGAAAACAACCCATAACAGATGGCTCTCTGGGCAGAGTCCACAACCTGTTCAGTGCCAGGTACCCCTGACTCTCAGAACCTTTCATTAGACCTGTGATGGTTGATCCCAAGCCTCATAGAGGCAAAAGCCAGCGTACATCTGATAGGCTTAGTTCCATGGTCACAGAATAACTTCTCACCCCCTTTAGGATAACTACTATGTTTAGAGCTCCACAACAGCAAGTGTGGTTGGTATTCCATAAACCTGAAATCGCCTGAAAGTTTCTTCCCTACTCATAGTACTTTGGTTATTGCATTTTTTTATTTAAAGAAAAATAAAATACACTGAATTCCTTTGGAAGGGTTAATTGTATCAACACCTTTTTCTGTTCATATTCCTTCTCCCCATACTAAACACTAAAGACAACGTCCAGCTTGGATTCATATAAAACAGAAGGAGGCGGGGTAATTGCAAAGGGGCAGAAGCAGTTGTGTTGGAGAGTGATCTCCAAAGCATGGGGGTCAGAGGCACTTGGTACCCCACAACGGACATTTGTGACTGTCCCCCAACGTTTCTCTGAGGTCGAGGGCTCCCATTTTGGGGCTGTGGGACGGAGTAGGCAGCTCTTGGCATTTTGAAAATAATGAAGTCTATATAAGACCACTTACAAAAGAGACAATGAACTGGGTAGGGACCAAAGGATTTCCTTCGCATATACGGGCACAATACAGTTTATACTCCATAAAACATCAAAGGAGGAGACATGAGTTGTCCTTTGAGTTGTCCTTTGCAAACAGCAGTGGCTCTTAACCTTCTCTGGGATGTGGATTCTTGAAAATCTGATGCAAGTTACAAACCCTCGCCCCAAGCAGGGCTGGGGAGGAATGCACATAGAAGCATGCATTGAAGATTCTGCACACAGACCTCAGAAGCCCACTAAAGGCCGGTGGTGGTGATGGCTCCTAGAATCCCTGATACTAAACCCTTCCGAGTTGGTTAAATACCTAATGCTCCCTGTAAAACCATCTACATGCCTTCAACTTTCTTCTTGTTTTCCAACTCTCCCAGCCCTTGCTTCCTTCCTTCATCTGACCCTGGACAGAGTGAGACTGAAAAATCCCCCAGCCTACCATCCGCGGATGAACTCGCCCAGGCAGGCCCCTGTGGCCTCTCCAGGCAGGGCCCTCCCGCCTCGCCACCTCCCCGGCCCCGGGACAGCG